GAGACATGGAAGCATGGAACAGACTGACGAATATGAGTGAAAGGAGGTGGGTAGGTGGGTGGGGAGAGATTAACCAAAGAACTTACATGCATATATGCATAACCCATGGACACAGACAAGTCTGGTGAAGGCTGGGGTGGTTGTGGGGTGTAGGGTGAAGGGGGTCAATGGGAAAAAAGAAGACATCTGTAATACTTTCAACAATAAATATACATTTAAAAAAATAAAATAGCTATTCATGTTAAAGGAAGCTTTATGTGAACCTTAGGATGGGAATCTTCAAAACGATGAAAAGTCGTCTCAGCTGAATGTAGCTGACTTGCTCCTACATTACGTATGTGTCAGAAAAGGATTCAGGGTTGTTTAATCACAAAATGTTTCTAATTTTCATTTTAAGGCAGTTGTGGCTTAGCAGTCTCAAATCTCATGCATGGCTTAATGGTTTCATCCTCTTACTCTCTGACAAAATATTTACATTCAGCTCTATTTCTGCAAAAGACTAAGACTTCAAAAATAGAAATCAAGACAGCCAAGTATATTTAAAGATAACAGGCAATAGATAGTGCTAAAAATGATTATAATACACTTTAGAAATTAACCTTGGGCCAAATTCCACCAGAAGACCTATGGATAGGATCTCAGAAAAACTAGCTAAGTAATGAGTATCATGGAAGTGATAACCAGACAAGAAGTTCCAAGGATCTGAGCCCCAAGTCTCTCCCTGAGAATCTGTGAGGTATTTCTACGACTACTTCATCTGCTGCAATCTGTGGACTGCAATTTCACTTAAGGTTGGTCATGTAATTGTGAAGTGTTATTGCATTATTGATAAACCCAGGAAAAGAAATGTCAAGCCCTTTTAAAGTCACTGTACACTGAGCACAGCACTTCCACCAGAGAGTTAAGGCTAAGCAGTAACATGGTGAGAAGGATTTTCGTATCTTCACAGCTAATTCCAAACCCACATGAAAATGAGAACGAAACCCATTATGTTTGATAAGCACCCACCACACTTGCACATTTTTTTAAATATATTTTGATTGATTTCAGAGAGGAAGGATGAGGGAGAGAGAGAGAGAGAAATATCAGTGATGAGAATCATTAATCGGCTGCCTCCTGCATGCCCCCTACTGGGGATCAAGCCAGTAACCCAGGCATGTGCCCTGACTGAGAATTGAACCCTGACTGCCTGGTTCATAGGTCCACACTCAATCACTGAGCCACACCAGCCAGGCACTTGTATGCTTTTAAAAGAACAGAGAACGAATATAAGGGGAAAGAAAAACTAATCAATATAAGGTAATTGGGGAAGATAATTGGATAATGGAAGAAAAAATTGTCCATAGCAACAAAATAGAAGAGATTATTTATGTTGATTTACAAGTAGATGAGTTCCAGATGTATTTTTTAAATCTACTTCTCCCAGGTGTTTTTCTGCTTAATAAATATAACATCCAAGTTGGAATATTGCTGAAGCATTGAATCACCTAAATTCTGGCTATGGTCTTCTTCTGCCGTTCACTATTTTAAGCTATTTCTCCGCAGGGCAGTGCTACTGAAATCATCAGCATACAGGCTTGGCAGAGCCAGAGAGAAAAAGTACAGTCCACAGATTTGTTTCTTCTGTTTTTCCCAAAACAGAATCTCATAAAAAACATGCCCTCAAATTCTGTCACGATGTAGCTGACAGAATGAGAAATTCGGCTCCTGTTCGTAACTCTGACCGTCAAACCCATTTCTTGTGCTACTGAGAAGTCACAAAGCTCCAGGAAGTCGGGAGGCACCGTCGCAACTGTTCAAATGGTATCCAGGCAGAACAATCAGTCAATCAGAAACTTTAGTTCCAGTGGGATGAAAGTTTTTGGGGCCAACTTGGAAAAGCCTACAGAACAAGTTTGACTTGACTGCCAAGATCATTTCCAGGACACTGGCTAATTAATTATAAAAGCTTTTTCAAAACAAATTTGAGCCTGGCAACCTTTTTTCCTACCCAAAGAGAGACGAAAAAAGCAAGTTCAAAATAATAAAAGCCCAGGATTGTTGTGCTGTTGTGTTTTTTTGCCATAGCTTCGTCTTCTTTGCAAGCCCATTTTCTTCTTAGCACCTTTGTATTTGAAGTTACTGAAACAGTGGTAATAGAAACTGGAACTATAGCTTGAATTCCTACTCTACCTTGGGTCATAGACAGGTCATGGGTCGGTCACAAAGCTTCTCTTCAAATCCTTTCGTGGGAAGCAAAGAACAGAGCTTCTTCCTCTCTGGGGGGAGGATAAAGGGCTCATTGCATTAAGTCTGGCTGTTACTAGTATATTAGATAAATGGAGATGGATAGTTGCTCTTTTAAAGATATCCTCATCAACCTCATTTTCAGGCTTTGAAAACAGAAAGAACTAAACCCCTGAATTTAATCTCCCTGGATTCACCTTACTCTGAATCTTCATAAATATAAGATGCTAGTGATAGTCAGCAAAGATTCTGGTTTCAAGGACAACATCACACAGGTTTTATAGTAAAATCAACACCCGGGAACATAATGCCTATTTCTTCTAATACAAAATCTTGTGCAGGACACCTCTGAAACCGTTGGATTTCTTCTGCACATGCCCATATATGAAGAGACCCAAGAAAGTAAGAAATTTCTCTCAGCATTTATCAGCTGCTTATTGACAAATTCCTGGCCAAAGAAGAACTGTCACGAATAAAAGAAGCCTTCCTCAAAGAGTATGTCAGCCAGATATTCCTAACTCTGCCTCATCTAGAATCAAGACCCCCGGCAAACCTCATAATTAATGTTGCTTGAGACCTGACATAGAGGCTGGCATAGCATAATTGTATAATCAAATATTAGTTAAAGGAATGAATGAATTAAGGTACCACGATTCTTATCAATCACCATCTCATACCTGGATCACAATCACGTAGCTAATCTACTACTATTCCTCTCAGTTTCCCCACAGAATCAGAAATAGATTTAGGGCTTCTCCACTTTTATTGCCATACAGTATGAACAATCAAAATCAAGAGCCAGAACAAGTTGATGCTATTGAATTAATATCTGATATACTTGTAAAAAGAAAACAATCACATATAACATGTAAAAACTGTGGATCTATGTTGGTTCCCCATAGTTCTATTTTTTTTTTTCTGTTCAACTTAATAGCCCTTAAAAATCTATAATGTAAACCATGGCTATTGAGCCCCTGACACCCATATTTTATTTAACCAAGTACTTTTCTAGGGAGCATTCCTTAAGCGGTCTTTTCTAAGACTCCCTGTTGCTTCTTTAGTGAAAATCACCATTTAGGACAATGTATTTAATCTTTTTAAGCCTAAATTTCCTCATTTGCACCAACCACATGTTATGGGCATGCATAAATTCTTAGCTTAGGGCCTGGCCAATAATAAATGCTCAATAAATGTTAACTATTATTTTAAAAACTAGAGGCCTGGTGCACAAATTCGTGCACACTGAGAAGAAATTAATTAGAAAAAATATTTTAGAGGCCGGGTAGGGACCATGGAAGGTTGGCTCCAGGGCGTGTCTGGCCCGTCTCGCCCAGTCCTGATCAGCTGGACCCTAGCAGCAAGCTAACCTACCAGTCGAAGCATCTAACCCCTGGTGGTCAGTGCCCATCATAGCCACTGGTTGAGTGGTCTACCAAATGGTCAGACACTTAGCATGTTAGGCTTTTATATATATAGATGTTGTTTGATAAATACTGAATGGAACCAAGATGTGCGAAATAGTGTTGAGGGAAATTCTCAATAAGTCCTAGTGGACTGAGTTTTCCCTTTTCTGCTGCTGTATTCCATATTTAATGATCTTCTCCCCATCATTTCAAGAGGCAGGAAAGGGAGGGGAGGAGGGCTATCCACATTAGCATTTCAAGGGGGAGTAGAACTAGGAGTAAAGAATTAATCTCAATGTAAAGAGGGAGGAAATTAGGCCTGGCCAAAGCAAAACATCCCTCTTCTAGGGAACAAAAATAAATTAAGATGAGAAAGATAACATCAGATTTCAGAGCATCTTAAAAGTCATACAGGCAATTCTGAACTTAACTTTATAGGAAGCCATTACAAGCTTTTAATCCAAGGGAGAAATGGAAGGGCAATATTTTACAAAGTGTTAAACTGTGAGAAAATGGAGACAAGGAATTAGCTCCAAAGGCTTTTCTAGCAACACAGTCTAAGGTGATAATGGCCCTGTTAGGGGGCTACTGGTGAGAAGAAGGAAGAATCCAAATGTTATTTCATGAGAAAGAACATGAATTTCATCTTCCCTGTACTTTTTACAAATGTTGTTAAAGAGAAGCATCCTCATAAAGAAGAAATGTACAATTCAGATTTATTTATTCAGGTAAAAATTTCACCCATTCAGTCCACACAACTGGTTTTGGGTTTTATTGCACAATGCAAAATTGTATCTGCTCACCATTTTCTATTATCCCCAGATATTCTCCCAACTGGAAAATGGTCCAGTTTCTTCCATATTTTTTTTAAAAGAAAGAAAATTGAGACTCAAACCCTAATTGCTCTACATTTCAAATAGCCTACCTACTATGTATTTTAACAGACAAATCTTCAGCTAACAAAACTACATTACCTTTGCCAAAAATATACCCGAGTGAACAATTGCCAGAATTTTAGTTCTTTCTTTACCAATGCACTTTTTCATAAAGTTTTTCATTTAATCCTCACAATAACCCTGAGGTAGGGATTATTATTACTATTTTAAAGCTAATACAACTATAGTTACAATAAATTGCCCAAGAGACTATATCTATTAAAGGCTGGGCTGAAGTCAAGACTCTAATTCTTGGGTTCTGAACTCCAAATCCCTTTCACATACAGCCTCCCCTTCCCTCAGAAAAAGTACAAAAACCTCATCTACACATATTGGTTCTTTTCAGTCAGGGAACTATCATTTCTAATCTTTTCCTAGCATCATCTAGATATGCATTTAGTCTTACATTTCAAAGGAGCAAGAATTCTTTGCTTACCTGGTCCTTCTCAGGTTTATCAGAAATGTCATTCAGACTGGCAGAAGTCAGATTCCTATGGGTCAGGGCTGGGCTACCTGGAAAAACAAAAGCAAATCCTAATTAAAGAGTTCTTCTCAAAAGCACAGAGAATCTGGCTGTATATTTCATCAACACTAGTAGATGATGATGGACATGGTGATGATGCTTTAGCTACGATAAAGGTTGGAGCGCAGACACGGTTAAATGGAAAGTATGAAAAATCTCCCATTACTTGTTAAAGCCTGACTGCCAGTCTCTATTTTAAGGTAAGTTACACTTTGAAAGAAACATCAAAAACAATAGGCATAAAAACAAATGTACTCCTGGTTTGGTTTGGTTTTTGTCACGCCCTTTCACACATGTCCTAACCTACCAGGTGTCCTTTCCTTTTCCTCTCCCCTGCACAGCCAGGCTTTCTCCTATCAGCAGAGCTGGTCCCAGATTCAGGCCTACTGTCCTCTCTCCCAGGCCCCTGCAGTCCTTTCTAGGACATCCCTCATTCCAATCAACACAAAAAGCTATCTGTGTTCCTTTCTCTAGCTAACATTTTAATCAAAATATCTCTCCTGCCCTAAATGGTTTGGCTCAGTGGATAGAGTGTTAGCTTGCAGACTGAAGGGTCCCAGGTTCGATTCCAGTCAAGGGCACATGCCTGGGTTGTGGGCTCAATCCCTAGTAGGGGGCGTGCAGCAGGCAGCCAATCAATGATTCTCTCTCATCATTAATGTTTCTATTTCTCTCTCCCACTCCCTTCTTCTCTGAAATCAATAAAAATATATTTTTTAAAAAAGAATTATTTCTCCTTAGTAGGCATCTGATCCAGAATCCCCATTCTTTGCCTCAAAATAGTGTTATCACAGGCCCCCCTTAGTTCCTGCATTCCCATTTGCCAAACTAAAATAAGTGTGTCCCTTCTTCCCACTTAACATGCCAAGCTCCATATTCAAGTCAAAGGATGGTTCCATCAGGAATGCTTCAGGGGGACCAAGCTCTCAGGCAACATAGCTGCTGTAGGTAATATCCACTGGCAACCCAGTCAGTGATTTTAGACACTGTTATACAACCACAGAGAGGAAGGATGTCTGGAAGAGTGAGAGACCATTTTCAAGTAGACTATGTTAATAATACTGAACTTTCATTCTGCAGTTGGCCTGAAATCTCTAGGCTTACTAAGCAAAAGAGGAACTTTTCAAAAGCCAGGGTGCTTGACCCACCCCTGCAGGGTGCTGAGTAATGCATTCATCCTTAATCCTCAATAGTCTGACTCAGGCTGGTCTTCACACCAAGAGGACAAGGGTTGGGGAGAAAAGCGCAGCAGAAGTTCCAACACAGCTTCACATTTGCTTCCAAAAAAGTATTTATTACAGACTTTAATTCCTTCCGGTCAAAACTTCAACACAGAATTTTACAAAAGATTGCAAGCTACTCCTAATAATGTAATGTGTATATGCCAGCAGCCCTTTAAATTATATAATTGTCTTTAACTACTAGATCAGGAAAATCACAATTTTCTGGGGCTGACAGACAGGATGCTTTCCGCTCCGTTGCATTTCATTGAGTAAGCATGTCCTAGGTCTCTGTGAGCCTTTACCTGGTGGGTTATTTTATTCTAGGAAAATTTGAGCACAGAGCATTTTTCAAAGGAAAGAGCTGAAAAAATGCTTTACGGGCAATATCAAAAGAACTTCTTTGAAGGCCACATTTTCTTCTTTGAACTGCAGGCACACCACTGGATACAAGCAATACCAGGTACAAACACAAATGCCCCAAGATAATGTTGGGTTTGAAACGCACGGGTAAGGAGTAGATATAATTTTGCACTTTATGTTTAAAAACAAAACCAGTTATTTAAAGTAAAGAAATCTAAACTCTATACTCCTACATCAATGAAGCCTTAGAAATACTAATTATAAGTTAAAAGTAGCTTAGGTAAGCGATTAGATAAGACTAATTTCTAATTATAAAGCAATCGTATTAAGTGGAAGTACTGAAATAAATTGAAAGCAGTCTTTCATTAAGTAATTTAAATTTCCTGGGCAATATCCTAAACTCACTCACTGATTTGCTTTGGAAATACTGCAAAGGTACATTTCAACCCAAGAACTGCCCTAACTGCTGCAAAATCTGAATATGTAGAAGCCAAATGAATAAGGTCTTTATTATGATGGTAATCTGAATTGATGTCACCACTTTTCCAAGAAACCTCATATACTGTCTCATCATTTCTCATTTCTGAAAGACAGCTATCTATATTTGTGTTATATGGGGAAAGAAGAGGCACAGGTCCAAGGAAGAGGAAGGAACCAGATGGGGAAAAGAAGGCCAGTGTTAAGAAATAATCAACTCTATTGTCCCTCCTACCCTTAACTTTTCTCATTAATAAAAGTACTATTTGAAAGTAAAATTAGGAACATTCCCTAATGTTTAACTTTATAATACACTAGAAGAATCCAAAGTCAACACTTTTAGGTAAACCCTACGCAAGATGATCAGCATTCTTCAATCTTTTCCCACCTCCCTCCCTAACAAACTCCTTACCCCTACACCCTCACACCTTGAACCAGAAACAAATGCTTCCCAATTCCCAACCTGTGGCCCCAGGCCAACAGCATCAGCACCACATAAGAACTTGTTAGAAATGCAAACTCCTGGGACTCACCCCAAATCTATATCAAAACTCTGGGTCTGGGGCTTAGCAGTGTGGGCACTAACAAACCTTGGAAGTGATTCTGAAACATGCTAAAGTTTTGGAATTACTGCTCGAAATAAACCAGTTATCTTAACCGAAGGGTGTCTCAGTCAGAATCAGAGTTGAAAGGGGTTTATATAAGCTGAAGTAGCCAGAGTGGCCGTTCTGATAACCTTGCTCTCCCCCAAGCTACTTGCTTCAAACTGTCATATCTCACGCAAATCAGTAAATTAGCATCCTTGCCACATCTACAGACAAAAATGATCAGACCTGGCTTTTCCTCTAAATCATCACCTACGCTATCAAGTAAATAACTAACTTTGTTTTGGAAGCTCACTGTTTAATTAGCCTTTTCCAGAAACATACCACCCAATTCAAAAAGGCAAGGACAAGAGCCAAAAGAGATGACAAACCAAATTATATCTGGGAATCAGAAATCTGAGTGTGGTATTTTAGCAAACCCAAAAGCTGTTACACAACAGGTCCCTAACAACGTTCTAGTGTGGATATTTTGCACCTGACATTCAATAAGACGCATTGTCAGAACACACCAGTGCTTTCTATTTAGAGTTTTATCGTATAATGTAAACTCATGATACTGCAGTCCTGAGTGAGTGGAGGCAGCAGAGGAAAATGTCTCCTTGTGCCAGGAAGGTGTGTTACAAGGGTACCTGAAGCGTGCTACCACTTGTGCAGGTGGTGATTCCTTTACTCGGAGCTTCCACCAGCAGGCACCTCCACTCTGAAATCCAAGGCATACTTAAAACTGTTCTTGGTCCAAAGAAACTTGGGGTTTTTAAGTGTTGGATTTTAAAAAGACGAAAAAGAAGGACCAGCCTTCTTGGGCATTAATTATAATGAATTCGCGTATCCCTGATTTCTTGCCATAAGAAAAAGAAAGCTTTGGAGAATCACATTTTCAAGCAGTTTCACACAATCAAAAACAATTTCATTTTCAAAGTACCCACTTGGCAGGTACATACTGTCTTCTATAAAAACTAATTGCATTCTGTACTAAGTTTGAAAATCATTTTTATTCTTTAGCACACATGTAGCAATTCATAAAATCCTCTGCAATTATATCTCTTCGATAAAATAAAAAGGAGTGAGGAGAATGTACAGCATAGGAAGAGGATGATGTGTAAAAGTGTACATATTAGCCTGGCAGCTGTGGCTCAGTGGTTGAGCGTCAACCCATGAACCAGGAGGTCATGGTTTGATTCCCTGGGTTGCAGGCTTGATCCCCATTGTGGGTGTGCAGGAGGCAGCCAATCAATGATTCTCTCTCATAATTGATGTTTTTATCTCTCTGTTCCTCTCCCTTTCTCACTCTGAAATCAATAAAAACATATTTAAAATGTTTTAATGAAATGGTGTACATATTAGATAAAAATACAAATATGTATGTAATGACACATATATTGCCACACGCACACCTCATACCTTTATAATAAGCCAATAAAGAACCTAGGAACAAGGTAAAACAAAGATCACAGGGGCTATGGGGTAAACTGTGTTTTTATTCTTTCTAATAATTAAATAACACTTCTAAAATATATTGTTATATTATTTTGCCCTGACTGGGAATTGAACCCTGACCTCCTGATTCACAGGTCGACGCTCAACCACTGAGCCATGCCGGCTGGGCATTAAATAATATTGTTAGCATAAAAATAACTAAGGTAACTTACATGTAATGGACATTTAAATGAAACTGGGCATTAATGTCAGAAAGTTTAGAGCCATGGGTATGATCTGAACTGCTTGGGACCACAAAACAATATGTAGTTTCAGAATAATGAATACTAATATGTTCTGTCTCCCAATCACTCACTGATGGTTTCCCCCTGCCCTTGTTGTTATAACAAATCTACTAGAAAATGTCTGTATCTAAGATTAAGGACCAACTAATCTTTTTTAGTAGTAGGTACTTTAACTTCCATTATCTTAATCCTTACATAAACACTTTGAGGTTAGTATTGTTATTACCACTTTAACATAAACATGAACTGCAAGGCAGTTAAATTTATGGTCACACAGCAAGTGGTAAAAACATAATTTAAATCTGGATCTCTTAATACCAATCCCACTGCCTCTGAGAAAAAAAAAATGGTCTATGTAATTTACATAAATAAACACATAAACTTCACTTCTAATGAAGAGAAAATTTAAAGTATAACTACAAAGAATATATCCCACTTCCATGCCAATTGTGTGCAATATAATATTACTAAAAATGTTTAAGATAAAAATGCTCTTGGTTTCCAATTTTAGATGTTCTCAAAAATGAAATTTACATTTCTTTGTGTTTTCATTTTCATAAAGGAAAAAATGGGGGGGAGAAGGGGGCAGATATTCAACTCAGTC